CACACACACACACACAGACGCGTGTGCATGCACCGGCGATGGCGCCAAGAAGACGCGTGAAGTACCTACCATTTTCAAATTAGAAGTACTGCCGCCTCTTCTCAAGGGCATCACAGAAAGATGTGTGCCCCTCGTGAGGGCATTTCAAGGATGGACCGACGAAATGCAACCAGCGGCCCAGTAAGGGCATATAGGAAAGTTACGCCCCGTGCTGCCAGGGGCCTGCGGAAAAGTTCAGAGGCCCGAGGGGCATAACAGGGTAAGTTGGCCTTCACAGGGGCACGCCGCAAATAAACGCAAACTTCAGGGGCATTTCGAAAATTTTCCCAAAGAAAAATGGGAAAAAAAATGGAAAAAAAAATGGAAAAAAAATGGAAAAAAAAAACGAAAAAAAAAATGAAAACAAAATTAAAAAATGAAAAAAATGAAAAAAAAAATGAAAAAAAATTGAAAGAAAAAATAAAAAGAGAAAAAAAATGGACGCTCAGAGGGCCTCAAAGTTTCAAACTTCAAATTCCAAAGTGGCACATACTTCGCCCTGAATGATTCCCTTTTTTTTTTTTTTTTTTTTTTAAAGAAATAGCCAGTCCGAACGCCAGGAGATCCAGAAACCAACTTTGTCCTGAACGTGAAATGTTGTCCGAGGAAAGTTCGGCCCAATCGCCACAGTTTCAAAAAAAGGAAAAAAGGGAAAAAACTTCAAAAAAAAAAAAAGAAAAAAAAAAAAGAATGTTATGAGAGAAAAAACAAGCAAAAGGAACAGGAAAAAGAAAAGGAAAACAGGAATGAGCCAGGCTCTCCGGCCGGACTTGACCCCAACCGCAGCCAAAAAAAAACTGATATTGGCCGGCTCCATGCCCTTCCTTATCATCCAGTCATCCCTCTGTGAGCTAGTGACAATGGATAGTACGCTTCTTCCTCCTTCAACTAACAATCAACTGACCATCAGCTTGGCTACTGATGTGGGGGACGCTGGGCCCGTTTCCTAGCATATAATGATATCTTCCTTTCTCCTGAAAAAAAAAAAGAAAAAAGAAAGAAAAGGAACAGCGAAAAGAAACCGACAAGGAACAGGGCAAAAAGAAAAGAAAAGGAAGATGAAAGAAAGAAAGAAAAAAAAAAAAAAAAAAAGGACCAGGAGTCCTCAACGTATGAGCTTCCATGCTATAGCTCTTTTGCACGTGCACAGTGCATGGAAAGTGATGTAGAGAAAGCCAGACGCGGCACCTGAACTGCCCGGTAAACCGTAGGCAGAGAGAGAGAAGAGGACAACAAACGAGGGGCTGTGACAAACTGTTTCGTCGGAGTTTCACCGACTCATCAGATATATATATATTTGCAAGAAAAGTCTAATTTTTAATAATTTATTTATTTTAATTTTTTACCCTTAAAAAAAAGGTTTTTGGTGTTCATAAATTCACAGAATGCGATCTGAGGAAGTGTTTCGGCCAAAAGTTGAGTCGCCTTGCTTGCTGGACCATCTGTCATTTCCACCGACAAGGGTGCCGAACGGCGCCTTCGGCGCCGGCAAATATATGAGGCTTGCTTGTGTGTAATAATAATGTAAGAGTTAGACGGGGGGAAAAAAAAGGGAAAATGTCGCTCAAAATAAAGTTCTACTGTTCTACATCACATATATAGTCATCAAGGGGATACATTGGGGCTTTTTTTTTGAGTCAGCTCTGCACAAGATTGCGGCCAGATACATCCAGATCAGACCGTGATTGCAGTCAGATACATCCAGGAAAGTCCTCGTGTGAGTGCACACTCTGAGAAAGTGAGAAAAGGAGAAGAAACAAAAGGGAAGAGGGGAGGGGGGGGGTTCAATCTTTTTTATTTGTTCTTTTTGAGTATTTTTCAATGCGTCGCAGCAGAGCGCTGCACATATGTAAGTCTGTGCGTATCTGGTCGCCTTTCTTCAGATGCGAACACATTCTCCTTCTGGCATCCACTTTAGGTGATGCCTGAAGGTATTCGCACTGGATGCCAGAAGGTATTCGCACTAAGTATGACCTTCAGGGATTCGCACGCGAGGACCTAAAAGGACTGAACGTGGTCGTATTTACAGCCAGATGCATCCAGGAAAGTGCCAGTGTGTGTCTGGTCTTGGGCATTCCTGCCCGCCAGCGAACAGAGACAGTATTGGCAAAAAAGTACGACCTTCAGGGGATACGCACACGAGGACCTAAAGGACTGAACGTGGTCATATTTACAGCCAGATACATCCAGGAAAATGTCGGTGTGTGTGTATGGTCTCGGGCATTCATGCCCGCCAGCGAACAGACAGTATTGGCAAAAAGTACGACCTTCAGGGATATACACACAAGGACCTAAAGGACTGACTGACCTTGGTCGTATTTACAGCCAGATGCATCCAGGAAAAAGTGCCAGAGTGTGTATGGTCTCAGGCATTCATGCAGAATGACTATTCAGCAGCACAGCAGCATACCAATTTGCGATTCTGCCCCTGGCTAATCCTCGCAGAATGACTATTCAGCAGCACAGCAGCATACCAATTTGCTATTCTGCCCCCGGCTAATCCTCGCAGAATGACTATTCAGCAGCACATCAGCACACCCCAACTTTTTAACTTTTCCGCCCACTGAGCATAAGGGTCAGGTCCCTTACAGCTGGTGCATTCATGCTAAAAATAGCATGAACCTGGCCTCGATTACTGCCAAGTTCCTGCTTTCCAAGCAGGAATAATACTGAAGCACCAACGCGCCCTGGCCCTAAGTCCGTTGCTGCAAATGAACAGTCCAATGCTCCTCATGCCATGGTACTTTGGGCCCACTTTAGGCCCGAAGTACCCTGGAGTATAAAATCCCGCTACTGTTCCCAGTGAGACCATTCAGCGGACCTGGACAAGGTTATGGTTCCTGGTACTGGTGCTGGAATATTCCAGATCTATCTAGGCCATAGTGTGATCCTTGACTTGGGCCTGAACCTGAACCTGGTCCTGATCTGGATAGTTATTCGTACTTGTGTTGGTCCCAGAGCTGGCCCTGAGCGTGGCAATTTATGAGAGGACCAGGTTGTGTGCCCTGGCACTGCTGCTGGAGCTGGTCCTGGCCTTGGCCCTGACCCTGGTCCTGGTCCTGGTCCTGGTCCTGGACCTGCACCTGTTCCTGTTCCTGGCCTGGTCCTGGCACTGACCCTGGCCCTGGTCCTCGCACTGGTCCTGCTCCTGACCCTGATCCTGACCACATATAGTGATCCTGGCCCTGGCCCTAACCCTGACCCTGACCCTGACCCTGGTCCTGGTCCTGGTCCTGGTCCTGGCACTGACCCTGGACCTGAA